GCTTTCTTTATGCTTCCTTAGCTTGGGGGTTTGTTTATTGAGCTTTTTAGAGCTGTGGGTTTATAGTTTTCATTAGATGTGGGAAAATTTCAGCCACTGTTTTTTTTTGTAAACAATGACATCATTTATTTTGTTCAGGAATGTGTCCTTGGGGTGGATCTTGGCAAGGTCAGCACACTCCTCGTGCCTACCTCTCCCCCCACCTCTAGTGTCATCACCAGGACATGAACAGTCATGCATCACTTAAGAGCAGGCCGTTGTACAGCACAGTGGTCTCAAAAGTCTATACCATCCAGACTTACGTGATTTACTCTATAATATTCATTTAACAATGACATCATCATCACATACACTTCTCAGAACATGTCCCTCTCTTTAAGTGACACCTGACTGTACTAGGGCTAGAGGACCTGCTTTTCAAGGTAGCTCACATAAATGGCTGGCGTGGGGATGCAGACTGGGGCCACCCTTCACTCAGGTCTCTCCAAAGGTCTGCTTGGGTTATCCAGTGTCAGGGCCAGGTTCAAGAAGGTCACCCTGATTTGATGCCACCAGCTTTTGAAGGCTTGGCTCAGTCATAGCATAATGTTGACTGTTACAGTCAGTCTAGCAGTCATGAAGGCCAGCAGTGGGGCAGGGGACAGAAGCCCTCCTCCCAATACTAGGAGTGGCAAAGGACCTCAGAGCCATGTCACACTGTAACCCCTAGGAGGCCAAATGAGCTGACAGCCACTGTTCCTTCAAGTATTTTTCTGCTCCTCATATTGACTAATGTCCCAACCATAAGTCAGTATGAACAGGTCACAGTCCTAGTCCGCCTATAGTTCAATGTCTTAAAAAAGTTGTTGCCTATCTCTGGCCCAATTTCTAGCTATTTACAGTAAGAGAGTAAATCCAGAATCAGGTAGTCCCTTCATAGCATAAGAGTTTGTTTTAAGTTCACTTTATCAGGCCTTTACTTCTCATGTTCCACTTTGATTACTTTGTATTCCTAGTCTTCAAGTTCCCTGATCATCTTTTCCTGTACTTTCTAATCTGGTAGGCCCATCCAGTGGGGTTTTTTTTTTTTTAGATTTATTTATTTATTTATACAAGCACTGGGTACAGTCAGAAGCATGGGAGGGTGAGAGAATTCACCAGAGCCAGAGCAGGTTGCACAACAGGCAGACTGACGAAATACACTGCTGAGGGGAGCAGCGGGCACAGTAGGAGAGGTCTGCACACCATGTGGGACCCTTGCAGGTGGCCAGGGATTGAACTCACGCTGCAGAGGCTGCAGGCAGCTTCTCAACCCAGTGCTCAACCGCTGCGCCACCGGGGAGGCCCCATCCAGTGTTTTTTTTTTTTGAAGTTCAATGAACAAATGTATTTCATTTTCTCTTCATTCTGCCCATATCATCCTTTAAATTCATGAGCACATTATAATTCCTCAAAAATTCTGGATATATTTATACCATTATTTGAGCCTTTTAAATAATCATTGTTTTTTTTTAATTACATTTGATATTTTCCTGTTATGGTTTTATCTATTTGTTTTCATGCACAGTAATTTTTTATTAGATGTTGGACATTGTGAGTATTATGTCATCCAGTATCTAGATTTTATTGTCTTCCTTTAAAGAGTACTGATTACCTTGCCCCTCCATCCCCAGGCTCTTCCTTCTTTCCCTTTCATCATTTCTTTCTTTTTGATGACAGTTAAGTTACAGGCATATGTGCCTGATCCTTTTGGGGCTGCTTAATTTAGCTTTCTTAAAGCATACCTCTCAAGGAGCTTAATCTATGACTATTTTAGTCCTACACTAAAACATGACCTTTATGGGATTTCTCTACTCCGGGTGCTCTGAGAACTCGGCTTTCTCCCAGTCTGTGTAAGCTCTGGGAATTGTTATACTTACAGCAGGTAGAGTTCTTTGCTTTGACCCTGTGAAACTCATCCTACAGTCCTGGCATAGTATTAAGCAATAGACTCAAGAAAGAGAGCATCTAGACAGATTGCTTGAGCTCCTTTTCATCACAGCTCTCTCCTCTCTGACACTCTGCCTTGAACTCAGATTTCTGTCTCCTCTGCTTAGAGTCCACTGTATTCAGAACTCAGATTTCTGTCCCCTCCCTGTGCTATGGCCCAGAAAGTGACTCCAGGCAGAAAGTTGGGAAATTCACAGGACTCCTTTATATGCGTAGTCTCCTATCCTCTTCCCTTGAGAATCACAGTCATTTTCTATCTATAGTCCAATGCCTGACAATAGTATTATTTCACATTAATGTTTTGGTTAAATTGTCTTCCTGTTTTGTCAGTGTGCAGTACTTCTAGGTGGATCTAGTTTTAAATGTCCCTTTGATGTGTCCTCATGATTTTTAAGCAGTTACATAATTTCTGGTACAATTAGGTATCCCAAAGTCATCTTGTACTTTTCAGGCACTAGATTTGAAATTAATTTTTCTACAAGAAGGCTGGTATGTCCTTTAGTGAGCACATATTTAGAGACCAGATGTAACTATTCAGTGAGCTAACTACTGCTGATCTATCATTGCTTCTAAGTTCTTAGAGAGGTTTTAGACATTTCAATTTGTAAGCTAAGAGGTCCTGTTCAGATCTAAAAAGGCTGCAGTCATTTGGGCCCTATAAATTAAAACGAAATAACTGTTCCTTTCTGGGATATAATCTTACACTGAGGAGAAGCTGCAAAACTAGGACAACAGAAGCAAAGGAAAAAGAAGATCCAAGTAGAAGTGGCAGAGGAGACAGAAAGGAGACAGAAAGTATCAGTTCATAATTTTATTAACTTGTTTCCACAGGGAAAGAGGGAGCCTAGAGGCACGGAATAACAGTGCTGAGACACCTCATACAGGCCACACACCAAATCACTTACATGGGAATGACTTTTTAAGGGTAATGTTTCATGCCAAAAGACAATTAGATAATTGAGTAATATGATTAAGCTAGTCAAGGAAGGGAAATGTGAGCCTAAGATTTCACGTCCATCCAAACAAACTTTAAAGAATGGAGGCCACCAACTGCTCTGATGATTCTGGGGAACCAGTGGCACTTCCGATAACCACAATTACAGAAACAACAACATTAGGGTACAGAGTCAGCTTAAATATGTTTTAATGCACAGAATAAAAAAAATGAACAAATGATGGTTATAAAGGGGAAGTGGTAATGGCTCTTGGCCATTTATAATGGCTCTTGGCTTTGCCAATAAAGATGCAGCTTAACTAGCAAAAAAAGAGAGGGGTAAAGATTAGCGAAGTAGAATTAGCTTGCTGATTACCTTTCATCTGTTGGGAGTAAAAAGATATTACTTCAAGTGAAATGATCACAGGAAGCAAAGGAAGGGGGAAGAAGAGATGACTCGATCATTTTTATCTTGCCCATAGTACTGACAAAACAAAGAATGGGAGGGGGGAAGTAGTTACTATTAGAATAAAGACCTTCCTTAAAAGAGAAAACAAATAGGCTGCATAGTGACAGACTTTACATAAAAGACTTGTACATAGGTAAAATAGGAAAGAAGAAAACTGAGACTAAAGATAGTAATCATATTACAAAAATATTGGCTACCAGTAGAGTCCAATACTATTTGTAAAACAGATTCAGGAAGATAAAAGAATAAAAAGATGAACAAAGACATATCAAACAAATGCAAAGAAAACAGGAATTGCAATTCTGAAATCTAACAAGGTAGATTTATGCGAGGAAATCATAGCTAGGCAGTCAGATTTTAAAACGAAAACCAGAAAGAAAAAGTTGCATGCCCTGTTTGAAGTCTAGACTGGCAGTCAGCTAGAGACTTTGAAGGTTAAACTACAGAGGGACAAAATCAGACATGCACTTTAACATGGACTAGACTCAAGAGACACAGAGGAAGGGGTGCACGGAGGAAGGGGTGCAGTGGGGAGAGGGGCGGGTACGATGTCTGAGCGCCTCCTACAGGCCAGTGGCTCACATTCATGTTCTCATTTTAATTCCAAAAAGCAACTGTATGGAGTCTTGTTACTTACATTTTATATCTGGATATCCTGAGCTTCTGAAAGATTAAGTAACTTGCCCAAGTGAAGCAACTGGTAAGGTGGGAGATTCAAGATACTGAACTCAGTCTTACCTAACTCTTTACCATCACATGTCCACACAGCACCAAATGCTGCTATTTGTTATTAAAAAAAAAAAAATAGTTCGAGCAATAAAGGATGAGGGTTGAAGGCAGTGGGGAGGAACAGATATTGAAGAAGCATAATTAGGAAGATAGACTGGGGATTATATGAGGTTAAAGAACAAGAAACCATCCTCAAGAATTCTGGAACCATTGTAAAAGCTAATATCCACAAGAAGTTACAAATACATTCAAAAGGAAAACAAAGTAGAAGGAATTTTATGCCCTTTTACTGTTTGCTGCTTTTATTCTTCCCTAGGCCTACACTCATGAAGCCAAAACTCAAGCACACAAGATTTCATGTTATGTATTCAAAACAAAAAACACCATCATGACATCAACCCATCCTAAGAAGACCAGTAAGAGATACACCAACATCGCAACAAAAAAATGCAAATGGATTACCACAAATAAAGCACTTCTATCTTTTTCCTTTAGTGAAGGGGCAGATCTTAAAAACAGTAATAATTAATACAAATTAAGTTGTATCACTGCTGTTCGTTCAAAAAAGTTTGTTCTCAATGTAAAAGGCCCTGAGATCAAAGAAAGTCTTACTACACAGACTAAAAACTGAACTGCAGTAATGCGATGTAGTTAGTGACATGTACATATATATCCTTAAATTCTTCCAGTCTAGAGACTTTTTAAAGTCACAATGTAGATGCTTTTAATTTTTCTACTTTCTAAAAACACAACCTCTACATGTCCTCTGAAAAATTTTCTCCTTATCTTATTTTTGTTTCATTCACAATTTCATTATGGGTTACTTTATAGAATTATTTCTAGATTTTTGATTAAATAGAGAGAGTTCTGCCTCACTTCTTTTATCCATCTCATACTTACATGGAATGGTCCTCAAGTAGAGATTATCTCTGATCACTTGCTGCAATTTGTGATCAATGGATCCTTTCTGAAACTGAAGACTCAGGTAATGTCGTAAATCTTTATTGATGACTTTGCCTACAAAAAAAAAAAAGAAAAAAACACACAGACACAGAAGACAAAACATAACTGTTAGTTCTCCAGTTAAATATAGATCATAGTGATTAATTATGCTTAAACCATTTAGTTATAATCAGGAAAAAAATCGAAATACCTTACTATAAACAAGATCACTAACACCAAAGTATTCTAGATGGTATAATTAAAATATATACCTGAAATATATAGTGTGAGCATAATTTTATATGGTAGGGGTGGGAGGTCAGAGAACATGACAAATATCGAAGATAACTTCATTCAATACCATGGCTTTTTTATATCATCAATTCACTGATAACTTGCAAATTCTTATCAATCTCTACCCCTGACCTGTCTCCACCAAGCTTCAAACCCAAACTCATTCATTTATATTACAGATATATGTAAGTCAAGTGGGCATTCACATTTCAGTTGGCCAAAACAGAACTCTTCATCATGTTGTCCTCCATTTTTCCCCCCCTCTCCTTTGGTGTTCTCTGTCTAGAAAGTAACAGCACCACCATCCCAAAAGAACAAACTAGAAGAAGTTAACCATTCATGATTTCTCCTTTTCATGTCTATCCCCCGGTTCACTGGCAACTTGTGAGTTCTCCCTCTAAAACACAGCCCTTCCTGTCCACTTGTCTCCATTTCAGCCAAGCCACCATTATCTCTCATCGGGGATTCTGCAACAGCCTTCTAATTAGTCTCCCTGCATCCATCCTGCTCCCACCACACAGAAGCCAAAGTGAGATTTAATACAAAAATCAGATAATCACACTTGTGGAGCCATCTGAGGCTGCTTATTGCGCTTGGAATAAAATCCAAACTTCTAAACTGGGCCTCAGAGGCCCTCCATGTTTGGCTATCTCTGACCCAAAAGCAATCATTTTCCCCTCACGCCATGGTCCCCCAGTACAAATCAAAAAGGCCAATGGGTCCTACTCAGAACCTCTGCTTACCATGACCGAACAGTCATTTTCTGTCTACTTGTCTGATTCCTGAAGGCAATGTGGATAAATACGAGAATGATTTTTTTCTTATTTGTGGGGAAAATAGGATATAAATTCAAGGTTTTTTTTTTTTTTAATTTGAGGTTTTACTATAGCGTATGGTATAACTCACAAAGGTAATTACAAAATGCTACAAACCCAGATCAGATTTTAATCTATAAAAATGACAGCTTTTAAATTAGATATAATCAAAGACACAGTCATAATAAAATTCAATTCATAGGTCACAAATTACAACATGACGGGGTGTCTTAAAGGAAAATGAATAAAAACAACCCAATTCTTGTTTCAAGGGCCTACAAGTTCTTAAGACTGAGAGGCCAGTTAAAGCAGAAAGAACTAGATTTAAAAAATAACACAATTATCAAAGCTGGAATTGTACACTATTTTCACCCTCAAAATTCTACTGTAATTCTGAATGCAATGCTGAAATGAACAGTTGCAAAAAAAGGGTCAGGAACAATTTCATAAATATGATCTTTTATTTAGAAAGTGCAACTATTCAAAAGGTTGTCATACTTCTGAGGTTGGAGACAAAATGTTAGAAGTATCAGTGAAATGTAAATTATTAAAGATCGACAAATTATATGGGTTATAAGATTAAAAATAAACAAAATACATTGGCTATAGCAGTAACCTATGGGCCTTGCCACAAGAAACCAAAAGAGGGCCTCCCTGGTGGTGCAGGGGTTAAAGTCTCAGTGCTATGAAGCTATTGGCAGCCACTGTAGCATGAGTTTGATTCCCAGGCAGGGAGCTGGCCCACGGGGCCCAGCAGACCTCTCCTGTCTCCCCGCCGCTCCCTTCAGCAGTGCATTTCAATAGATCCAACTGTTCTGCTCCCCACTCTGTCTCTGCTGAATCCTCTCACCCCGCGTTCCTCAGTTCTTGTATGCTTTTTTTTTTTTTTTAAAAAAAAAAAAAGGAAACCCAAAGAACTTTTGTAGAGGAACAGACTATTATAGCTCCCTCTTCTACATGCTTCCAGGGAATTTGTTCAAAAAAAAAAAAAAGCAAGTATCTTTACAAAGGAGATAACCATGGGATTACTAGGAGGCCAGCAGAAATACTGACTCACAAAGATACTCTGACTGTATCGCCATTATTAAGTTTCATGTGCAATTCTGCCTTTTGTTCAGGGAGAACTTCACAAAAACTTGACATTTCAAGGGTATGAAAAACATTTCCTTGGACTTAATGGAGTTGTTTTTAACAAGGGGGAAAGAATCTTCATAATTTAGAACTCTTACCAAGCCAGCCTTTGCTTAAATGTTAAGACTATTCCTTGACTGTTAAGTGATTTAGAAGTCAAGATGACTTAGGGAACTTAAAAGCAGATTGATGTGTCTTACACATACAGTCAGGTAGCGCAAAATCTAACTAAAATCTCAATCATGTGAATAAATACCGGCACTCCAACTTCAAGCTATAAATCTTTAGCCAAAAGAACTCATAACTACAGAGCCATACTTTCTGAAAATATGCAAGTTAATATTCGCTGCCATTTCTCTTTAAGGAATCGGTGAATAGTGTCACTGGTCATTATTTAGGTAAATCCTGTGGCATGCAGATGTAGGTGTGGCCTGCAAATCAATCTAATTGCCAATGTCGCTGACATTTCCTTAAGGATAGTCCAGGAGACTTTGTCAACCACTTGTTCAAGTCAAGACACAACATGTCTTTACTATTCTCAGCAGTAATTAAAAAAAAAAAAAATGAGGTCAGTTGGGCAGGTATTGTTCTTATAAATTAGCTGATTTAATGTAATCCTCCCAGTCTTTTCTTGAAATTGACATAAAATTTTATTTTATTCTTTTATGATCTATTCTGATTTTGCCACAGCATGAGTGAGAAAATGGACTTGACTATTTACAATCTACATCTTTTAGGAAACTAGGAAATTTGTCTCTACGTTCTCCTGGCACTTCCCATATCCTCCGTGGTTTCACTGAGGATTTTGACCATAACCATGAGATCTTATCTGAGAGTCTTTCAAACTCCTTTAAAGTGAATGATTCACTATAGTCTCATTTTAAAATTTAACTTCCCCACTTTGGGTTTTTTCTTCTACTGATGGACAAGTATGAATGGCATAGGTCTGATCTGACTATAAACAACTAATATTGACATCTGCAGAGAAGAAAATTCTTAAATACTTATTTCTTACAGTCTACTTAGCTCTGTAGAAATGAGAGGGTTATATGTTCCAATTATCTATCAATTATACACATTTTTAAATCCAAATCCAAGGTGCTCAGAGCATTCTGTGCATCCATCAGAATTTCTTCATATTAATTCTTCTTTTTGAAATCTCTGGTCTTGGGAACCACAACTATGGATGCGATAAACTTTTAAAAATCACATCCCATCTCTGTCCCTTGCTATGATGCCTAGAACAGCCTGCTGACTTCCCTTTCCCCAGTAACTGTTCAATATAACTCAACACAAGCCAAGTGTTTCCCCCATTAGATCTAGACTCAGAATTACAGGTTATTCTGGTTTTATTTATTTTTTTGCTTCCTCCACCCTCCTGAGCTCCATAGCAGTAAGGGAGGGCTCCATTAAAGTGGTAAAAAGATACACAGAAGCTTAATTCCAAACTGGCTCCTTGATTCAAGGCAGGAGAGATCCAAGGCAAACAAATCAAACTAATCCACTGGTTCGTGAAATTATAAATTGTATTTGAATACAACTTTTTTGGTTAATCATTATCTGCACTTTTTTTTTTAAGATTTATTTATTTATTTATACAAGCACTGGGTACAGTCAGAAGCGTGGGAGGGTGAGAGAATTTGCTAGAGCGGGGAGCAGAACAGGTAGACAGACAAAATACACTGCTGAGGGGAACAGCGGGCGCACCATGTGGGACCCTCGCCAGTGGCTGGGGATCGAACCAGCGCTGCAGAGGCTGCGGGCAGCTTCGCAGCCCAGTGCTCAACTGCTGCGCCACCAGGGGAGGCCCTTATCTGCACATTTCATAGTAAAATATGTTCTATGGCACTAAAGTTATTCAAATATATCTTGTATGGTTGTTAAACGTAAATATTTGTCAGCTATCTAAGGGTTAAGGTCATGGTTAGTTTTTTGTTTTTTGTTTTTTTTAATAGATTTAGCCCCAACATCTAGCACACAGATAAGTGAATCAGGTAAATGTTGCATTTTCATTTTTTTTGTTTGACCCTCTCTATCCTTGAATACACGAGATTTTAGAAGACAATGTTCACTTAATTGGTACTGTACTCTTCAATAGTCTCCGTACCACTTAAACTGTGTGTCTGAAACAACGAAATTTATTTTATTTTGAATCAGTCAAAATGCTTAAATAAATTCTTCACTGAAGCAGCACACTCTGTAAATCTTTAAAAGCAGGTTTCAATGATAGTTTATATGCCACTTGTTCAAATTCTGTTCATTATTTTTTCAAATGTATTCATGAAATAGAATCTGGTTTTCCTGAAATATAAAATAAGCCTAAATTAGCCATTCAAATATATGGTCTCCTAGCACCCGTGGGGATAGACAAATATAGAATGGGGGGAGGGAATCCCAAAGTCTTCTATTTTTTCTGGGGACAGGATGAAGGGATGAGAAACAGAAGAACATGGCTACCACCGCTATTTTAGAATGAGCATATATATCATCAATATTTTATATGCTATATCTCGTCACGTCTCATGAAAACCTTTGCGGTGGGGTCATTTATTCCCATCTTACAAATCAGGACCTGAGGTATAGAGACATTAATTTGGCCAAGGTAAAGTCATTAAGCAGCAGCAGACCTGGGGAGGAACCTAGTCAGTCTGACTGCACAATCTATAAGGTGAGCACTGTGCTAGGATCCCCAACTCCCCACTGACCTCGTCCACATCCATCCATCCATCCATCCATCCATCCATCCATCCATCCATTCATTTCTCCATCCATTCATCCATCCATCCATCCATCCATCCATCCATCCATCCATCCATCCATCCATCTTTTTAGTTT